AGGTCGGCGCTCGCCGGGCAGCGCGGCGCATCGTTCGATGGGCGCGAGCCCGTGCCCGACGAGGTCGACCGCCGCGGGAGCGTCGGCCCGCGGAGCGGCTACGCGCGCCGCGCCCAGCCGGGCGACGCAGGGCGCCGCCGCGTCACCGGCGGGCGGAAAGCTGGGCGCACTGCCTGGCGACCGCGCGAGTTCGGGCAGGATGGCGATACCGATGGCGGCGCTGGCGCGCAGGCGTCAAGGACGATAACGCGCCCCAGTCGGCGGCGGCCGGGGCAGTCGCACACGAGGCGCTCCTTGGAGTCGCACTCTCGAAATTTGAGACGCACCCCATTCGGGGCCAATGAGATTGCCTTGCCCGCCCGAACCCATCCCTCCCCCAATGCCCTCGCCCCTCCCGGAGCCCGCGAAGGTCTCCTGGAAGTCATTCTCGGACGCGGTGGCGATGAGAGCGCGGTGGCTTCTACCCTTGCCGTTGCCCTTTCGTTCGGTGGCCCTCCGAGCGTGGCGCGCGGGCTTGCGGTCTTTGGAGCTGCGCCGGCGTGCTTTGGCGCGCTCGCCGGCCGTGGAGAAGCGCGCGCCATGTTGTTCCACGGGAATGTCTCGGGCGCGCCATGTTGTTCCACGGGAATGTCTCGGGTCGTCGGCAGCTCCTCTCGCCGAATGGGCTGGCGGCGTCGGCGTCGGTGCCTGAGTTTACCTCCGCAGCCAGGCGCGCCCCCTGCGCCGGCGGCGCCGCGCAAGAGGCGCGGCCTCCAGGCGCGGCCTCGGACGGCGCAAGGGGGCCCGATGCCAATCCCAACGCAGCGGGGCCCACGCCGCCCCAGCTCTGCTCCTGCAGGGAAGCACCCGCAAGGAACGCGCGCAGTCGGGCAGCGTGGGCCGCCGAGGCAGGGATGCATGGCGACCTCTTTTCCACGTGCCCAAATCATCTCAGCTGGCCCGTCACGCGGTCGAACTGCCCAGCATTCGCGGGGCGGGCCATGTCGTCGCGATGCAGGATCATCATAAATTGGGCGTTCGATGCGCCGGCGGCGCGCAGCAGGGGGAAGCCGAGCCGCTCGCAATCGGCCATGAGTTGCCCAGCTCGTTGCGCCAGGAAGTTGTCGATGCGTTCCTGTGGCAGCCGCCCGTCCATCTGGAGCGCCCCCTCTGCCGGTCGTAGATGTGCTGGAGGCCGGGGGCACTTGCTACCGATGCGTTCCTCGTCGTCAGCTTATTGGTCGTCTTCTGATGTCGCGTCGCTGCAGTGCTCGCCGCGCTCGGACCGCCCCGCGACTCGGCCACGGGAAAGTAGTTCTACGTCGCGCGGTCGCTGTGCTGCATCGTCTAGAGGAGTGCACTTCGGGATCCCATCCTGCCCAGCGGGCGGTAGGGGAAACGAACGGTCGGGCCCCGAGGCGCGGTGCCCCGGAGCGATGGCGCCCCCGTCGTCATGCCCTCCAAAGCACTGGCAACGCAGTCGCCGGATGTTTCTGCTTCGCTTGCTTCTCCTAGGCTCTAGGGGTCTCGAGGCGCAGTCACAAGAAACCCGGGAGTTCGTTCTGACGCCGCATATGTGAGCATTGTGTCGGACAGTTGGTTGACACTTGAGAAAGGTCGGGGTCAGCGAGTTCCCAGGACACAATCCGAACATGCCTAGGATGGGTCGCAGGGCGGTCCTTGTATATCTTGGTGTTGTTGTCCTTGACAAGGTACTGGTTGTGTGCGCGCTTTTGGTCACTGGTCCTGGCGGGTGGGCGGATGCCCCAACGCACTCCTGAGCAACGATTTCCTGCCACAGCGAGCGGGCACAGAAGGTGCACGAAAACGATGATGCTGAAGGCGGGTGTAGGGCGGGATGCAAAGCGGGACGACGTAGTGTTCCTGCGGATGGGTCGGCCCATCCTGGATTTCCTTGAATGACGTCTCATGCAGCCGTCACGACGTAGAGCGATCGAGGCGAAGCAAAAAATGGTGGCCGTGGTATTGGGGCAGGGGCGAACCTGATCCGCTAACTACAAACTAGAAAGGAAGATGTGGATGTAAAGATGGTGTCCGTAAGCGGATGAAGGCGGAATGTACTGCACGCACAGTGGGGCTAAGGCGCGTCGAAGAGAACGCGCATGGAAGCTTGGCAGACTTCCGCGCCCCAGAGCCAAAAGGTAGCGGCAAGGGGAGACCATTCCAACAAGCAAAAACGAGGAGGGACAGGTGAGGTTCCAAACCCCCTCCCCCCCCCGGCGCCGGCGCCGGCGCCGGCGCTGGCCAGCAGCGCCGACGGCGGGGACGCAGCGACGATGACCAGAGAGGGCCCAGAAGCCGCAGAGGGGACACACACATCGCCATATAGAGCCCTCGCCCCCCAGAAGCTACCGAGAGGCCCTTAGGAAGGACCACGGGGCTTCACACCTGCTCCTCAGACGCCCCCGAAAACCTTCTGACGAGACCTCAGGAGGCATCCATTAGAACTCTGACCCAAAGCCAATCCACGGTGGCGGGAAGAGCCGAAGGCCACACCACCACCACCACCACCGCAAACCACAACACCACCACCACCGCCACCACCACCACCACAACCCACCACCACCACAACCACCACCATCACCACAAACCACTTCATCACCACCACCACCACAACATACCACCACCACCACCACAAACCGACACCACCCACCACAACCACCACCCCCAGAAACCACCACACCATTGCCAGCACCATCGCCACCATCGCCACCGCCACAACCATCACCTCCACACCACCTCCACCACAACCACAACCACTACCACCACCACCACCACCACCCAACACCACCACCAGCACCGCTACCAGCAGCAGCACCACCACCAACAACACCACAGCCCACCACCACCACCACAAACCACAACGCCACCACCACGACCACCACCACCGCCACCACCAGTAGCACCACCACAACCACCTCAACCTACCACCACCACCACCACCAAATCACCACACAACCACCACCACCACCACCGTCACCGCCACCACCACCACAACAACTCACCACCACAACCACCACCACAACAACCCACCACCACTACCACCACCACCACAATATACCACACCACCATCACCACCACCGCCACATCCACCAGCACTACCAGCAGCACGACCCACCACCACGCCACAAACCACCACACCACCACCACCACCACAACCAACACCACCACCACCACCACCACCACCACCACCACCTCCACAAACCACCGCCACCACCACCATCGCCACCACCACAACAAACCACCACCACCACAACCACCACCACCACCGCCCCCACCACCACCACAACAACCCACCCACCACAAACTACCACCACACCACCAACAAACCACCACCACCACCACCGCCCACCACCAAAACCACCACCACCTGAACAAACCACCACACCACCACAACCACAACCACAACCACCGCCAGCACAACCACCACAACCCACCTCCACCACCACCACCACCACCACCACAAACCACCACACCACCACCACCACGACCACCACCACCAGCACCACCGCACCACCACCATCACCACAACAAACCACCACTACAACCACCACAACCACCACCACCGCTGCCACCACCACCACAACCCACCACCACCACCACCACCACAACCCCTACCACCACCGCAACCACCACGACAAACCACCACACCACCACCGCCACCACCACGTTCACCACAACCCACCACCACCACAACTACCACCACCACCACCAGAAACCACCGCCACCACCACCGCCACCACCACCACCACCACCACCACAACCTGCCACCAAAACCACCACAACAACCACCACCGCCACCACCACCAACCACCAAACCACCACCACTACTGCCACCACCACCACCATTGCCGCAACCACCACCACCACCACCACCACCGCAGCCCGCCAGCACCACCACCTCAGAAGGCCCCAAGAGACGGCAAAGAGGCGCCCAGGAGGATTCACAAATGCCTTTGAGAGGCCCCCGAGAGCCCTCCGACGAGACCCCAAGAGGTATCCAGTATGACTCTGACCCAAAGCCAAGGCATGGTGGCGGAGCGTCGTCGTCGTCGTCATCGTCGTCGCTGTCGTCCTCGTCGCCGCCGCCGCCGCTCGCCGTCGCAGGCGCTGGCGCCGGCCCAGACAAGGAAGTCGTCGTCCCCGCCGCCGCCGCCAGCCGCTGCCGACGCAGGCGCCGGCCCGAGGAGAGGGAGGGAGAAAAAGTAGGGGAGGGGGGGTGGGGAAGGGGGGATTCGGAAGGGGGGATTCGAACCCCCTCCCCGTCCGTCACGTGAGAGGGGGGGGGTGAAACCCGCCTCCCCCTCGATGCAGGGGGGGAGGGGGGTCCGGTTCCAACCCCCCCCCTCCAAGCGACCACAGGACGCGGTCTTTCCTGTCTCTATTTCTGTTTCTCTCTCTCTCTCTCTATCTGTCTCTCGCTGGTATATGTATATACACAATAGCTGGCTATATATGTAGTCGCCCTGGCCAGGCAACATAAACACACTTACGATATCAGTGACTTGACCGAGTCAAGGTCAGTTGTGACATCGGCGTTATCATGATGTTTTGTGGGACCTGACATTATGCTAACTCTTGCTGCCTGCAAGCGTCGGGGCCCTGTTGACATCCCCGAGGCCCTCGACTTGTGCCCTCGAACAACAAGAGCGGCAGGGCAAACACTGACAGTGCGAGCTCTCCCTCATCAGTATCCTCTTTTCGCGCGGCAGCCGCGTGCGCAGCAGCGCGGCTAGATCCAGCGCGCGAGGACGCGCGAGGCAGCATGTGCAGAGAGGGACGGGACAGACGGCGGCGAGAAAAAACGAGTCGCGGCGAGGCAGAGCGAACGGGCACGCCGAGGAAGCAAGAAAGCAGAGAGACAGCCCTCCCCTCCTCCTCCAACTCCTGCTCCTGCTCCTCCTCCTCCTCCTCCTCCTCCTCCTCCCTGTTGCCCTCGTCCTCGTCCGCGTCCTCGTCCTCTTCCTCCCCCTCCCTTGAGGCCGCCCCCTCCGCGACACCAGGATGGTCTCCACCGACCAGGCGGGGTTCCAACTCTCCTCGGGTGGATGAGCGGGCGGCGCGCGCGAGGTGCAGGGGCCATGCCAGCCGCTGGAATGCGTCCCCAAAAATCTGACGCATTGAACAAATCGGGACGGAGGTGTTCTCCGTTGTCGGCCCCTAGACCGTCGCCTCCCTCCATGCCCCAACACCGTCGAACAACAGCTCGGGATGAAAAACCGGCCCCAAGGAAGGGGTCTGGACTTCCTGGGGCCCTGCACAGCGAAAGAGCACCGAATAAGGAACGAAGGGGCCGCCTTGGCCACGGCGAACGAAGGCCACTGACAGGGGCCCCGACCCAGCCGCGGACCAGGCCCGCGCGCGGGGGATCTAGCCTCCCAGTCCTCTCCGTCCCTCCTCCTCCTCCACCTCCGCCTGCTCCTCCTCCTCCTCCTCCTCCGCCTCCTCATCCTCCTCCTCCTCTTCCTGTCCTTTTCCCTCTTGATGATTTCTCCCTGTCGCACCTCGAGGCTAGTTTTTAGGGCGGTCCGGGCGTTTCGCCTGAGCCTTCCCCACCATTGACAACACCTTCACGGATGGAGGGCGAGTCGTTTTGAAAATTTGGCTCTCGCCTTAGCGCCGCGCGCATTCGTTTCAAACATTTGCAAAAGCTTCACGGATTGAGGGCGGCTCCTTTTCAACATGTGGCTCTCGTCTTAGCGCCGCGCAAATTGATTCTAAACATTTGCAAGCGCTTCACGGATTGAGGGCGGCTCCTTTTCAAAATGTGGCTCTCGTCGTAGCCCCGCGCACATTCGTTTATCACATTAGCAAGAGTTCCACGGATTCCCATGATCAACGTACCAGAAACGTTTTGGACAAATTTCGGGTTATGAGGGTGCAACAGGTTCGTTGGTTCGCGGTGTTGAAGTCCCACGAATGGCGTTCTCTCACGATTCAGGATCGTCAAGACGCAACAGTCAGGTTGATCCGTAGTGTTGGAATCCAGGGAACGATGTTTTGGCATGCATCAGGGTCTTCGAACGGTCGCTTTCCAACGAGGCAATCCCCTCAGTGGAAATGCACCCTGGCAGGGGCCTATGCAGAGAGAACTTGGAGGGAGGGTGTATTCCAACATCGTTGATGACTCTTGGGTTTACAGTGGCCCTCCTCCTCCCCCCCCTCCCCCCTCCCCCCTCCCCCCCCCCCCCCCCTCCCTCCCCTCCCCCCCCCTTCCCCCCCCCTCCCCCCCTTGCCCCTCCCCCCCCTTGCACAATTACTCAATATGAATACTACTCTCCCTCTTCCCCCGATGGCAGCCTGAAAGTAGCCGACCCCCCCCCCGTACGGTTGTTTTACACACTATTCCCGGGAGTTGGGTTTTCGCCCGCCTTTTTTTTGTTCGTGCTCCCGCTGCAGCGTGGGCCTCATTTTCGGATCGGTGTTTGGCCTCCGCCGTTCAGGATGGCGTTCTCGCCCCAGCGCGGGCCTCTTTCTCGAGCGCCCATCCGCCCGCCACCACCGCGCCGCCCCACCACCACCCCCACCACACCACCACCACCACCACCAGCACCACCACCACCAGCACCACCAGCACCAGCACCAGCACCACCACCAACACCACCACCACCACCACAACCACGCACAAACGCACGCACGCACGCACACGCACCACCATCCACTACGCACGCGCGCGCGGAGCCACAGGTCCGCTACGACACGCGTCCGCGGATAGAGAAAATCAGCGCCATGGTAAGGGATGGGAGGGAGGGGTAGGACGTCAGATATGACGCGAGCGCACCTAGCTTGCCCTCCCCCCCCCCCCCCTCCTCCCCCCCCCTCCCCCCCTCCCCCCCCTCCCCCCCCTTCCCCTCCTCCTCCTCCTCCGTCCCCCCCTTCCCCCCCCCTCCCGTGGGGAGAGGGAACATGTTGTGGGCAGGTGCCCACCGCCCCACAAATCTCGTAGGCCTACCACGACATCTCGCCGGAAGAGAATACTGCTGCGCGCACGCACAAGGTGCCCAGAACGCAAAACCAGTGTGCTAAACCACGACGGTTTCGGCCAGAAATGCTCCAAGATAAGGAGTCGAGCTCTATACACCAACGTGTTGTCCGGCCTGGCACTGAACTTTGCACAGGAAAGCGGATCCTGGTGTATAAGGGATCCTGGTGTATACATTTTTGGCTGTTTCCCATGTGAAAAAGCAGAAACAAGTATACTCTACACCACCCCGACGTCGTCCCCGACCCTCAAAAGGGTCCTGGGATTGAGTAAGTGCCCGCCACTGGTGATGTATATGTTCTAGTTTCCGACAAGAACATCTCGCGCAAACCACGAGACGTTCTGAGAGCACCCCCGAGTGGGCCCTTTGTGGGCCCCAGAAACGGCAGGGCCGATTTTCACCGTTTCCCCAAAAATGTCCCTTGAAAATGGAAACGGCAAAAAAACGGCAACCGGAAACGGCACAAAAAAACGGCTCCAAGATTGGAACCGGAACCGGAACCGGTCAAAAAACGGCGACGGAATCATTAAAAAAACGGCGTCGGAACTGGCAGAAAAACGGCAAAACGGAACCGGTAAAAAAAACGGCCGTCGTTTCCAGGGCCCACTAAATCCCGAGCCAGGCCGCCTCGCCACTGCTCGGCAGGGGGGACGACAAATGGGAAGGGCAGAAAAGTGCACCTCTCGGGCCCGGAAAGTCCTCCTCCTCCCTATCCTCCCCCTCCTCCTGGATCCTCCTCCTCCTCCTCCTCCACCTCCTCCTCCTCCTCCTCCTCCTCCTCCTCCTCCGTATCTTCTTTGTGGCCCTCGCTGCCCCCTCCCCCCCCCCAAACGCATCGCCGCCCCGTTGCGCGACGACCAGTGGCCCCCCGCCCCCCTCGGGGGGGTCTCTCCGGGTGGAAGTCCGTCATGCTGAGGCAGAGGCGCTGGCCCGTGTGCAGCCGGCCGCTGGGGGTGACCATGACCTGGGGCGGCGTCGGGCCCGCCGGGGGACGACGGTCGAGGGGGGTGCTATGGGCGGTCTGGCAGTGGAGCGGCGGGTCGAGGGGGTGCTGGGCGATCGGGGCTGCTGGGCGATCGGGGGTGCTGGGCGGGTCCTGCGAGCGATGACGCGGCGCACGGCGACTTGCGCGCTGGCCTGCACGGCCCGCCCGCGCTGCACGCACGACTGGAAACGAGCGCGCTCACGCGCGGCTCTGCGCGGGCAGCTCGCGCGCCAATGCCCGCGCGGACGACGCCCCTTTTTCATGCGTCGCTCCACTGTCTTCGAACCTCCAACGCCCAGAGGAGGGCAAGGCGGGGATGAGCGAGGAGAGAAGGGGGGGAAGGGGCAGGACAGGGAAAAGGGGGCGCATGGGGAGAAACGGGAGGATGTGAAACCTGGACGAAGAGAATCAGGTGTAGGATGCCTTCCTCGCCATCGACGTCGCCCTCGTCGTCGTCCTTCTCCACATCGTCCTCCTGTTCCAATTGTTCGTCCTCCAATTTCTCCTCCTCCTCCTCGTCCTCCACCTCCTCCTCCCCCGCATCTTCATCACAATCAGATTGTTCATCCTCATCCCCCCGCCCCTTCCCATCATCATCTTCATCCTGTCTGTCCTCGTCCATCTCTGCATCACCTCCCTCCTGTTCTTTTACCTCCCTCACTCCTGCACCCCGCCCGCCCCCTCTCATCCGTTTCCATCCTCCTCATACTTCTCCGCGTGCGAGAGAAGGATCCCTGAGCAGACCAAGGGGAATCTTTTCGTAGAACTTACTCAAGTCCATCCACTGTAGAAGGTTATGTCTGCCTTCGCTGACCTCAGCCTCGCTGCACGCCGCCTGGAGCCACGAGAAGCCGAGAGCACTTCTACCAGCCCATGCTCCCGAGTATGGGCCGTAGAGACAGCGATGCAGGTCTGCAGGACCACGGCGCCGTAGCCTCTGCCACGCTCGGCGCAGCCCTGAATGTAAAATGGTGAAGCAAGGACCTTGGCCGGGCTTGGCCAACATCGGAACGACAGTGAAACAGAGCTGTCGCGGCAGAAGGCCGCTGCGTTCACGAGCCTCAAAAAGCGCCGCCATGGCGTCGAGGCCAGGGTCAGATATCAAGCCAAACTGTCGAAGTTGAGTGCGATCGATGCTTGACGCTGTAGCACGTGGAAAATTGTTGGCCACATCGCGAATGGCTTAGCATCCCGCTCTTGGCAAAGCTGAGCGGTCTGGTAAACGTGCTTGGTTGGAGACCTGGCTGGAATGTCATAGCTTCTCATATGTTTTGACCTCTGCCTCCGCAGTATCATGAGGGTGAGCTGACAGTAGGGAGGAGGAGGAGGAGGAGGAGGAGGAGGAGAAAGA